TTATGACCCCCAAAGTTTGACTATTCGCCCTCCTATTTGCATGTCTGGGAAGCTATGTGTCTTCAATAAGCCATAGGCCACAAGTAGCAATTCCTTTGTCTCCCCATTTGAAATGGAGCTTGCACCATTTCAAACTGGCATTCGTGTGGTTCAAGAATGGTTGCATATCAGCCATTGTATATGGTTCAACTTAAATGTTATTGATTAAGGTCACAGCCGAAGAAAAGGGCACCGCAGCATAAAGCAAAGAAAGCGTAGACTTTCTTTGAGAGTGCCATCCCAGCCTGAGGTAGCCCTTGGCTCACTTCTTCCTGGAAGAGCCTGGGTCAGATGCAGAGATGGGCCAGGACACAAAGCAGAGGCTGGGAAGGGAGCAGCAAAGCCCTGGCTGGGTGGGTTTTAACCTTGGCAGAGACAGGGTCTTGGTGAAACCAGCGTGAAAAGGAAGCAGCGGGGTGTGGAAACTTCCTTGGTTAAAGGAGCTGAACTTTGTTTTTAGCTGTGGTGGAGAGGGAGGCAGTGACAGCCACAAGGTGTACTCTGAGTATGGTTGGGGTTTCTGAGGTGCCTGTCTGTGGTATCACGAGGAAGAGGAGGAGGCCCCAGGGGATTGGGGTGAAAAGGCTGCCCTTGCAGCCTCTGGAGTGAATGAGGAGCGAGCCCTGGCTGGGAGGAGAGGGCGGAATGGGACCTGTGCAGAAATATCTTATCTTTTCATTTTTGTTTGGAAGGAAACAGGAAATAAGAGGAGTGGAGGAAGGGAGGCGGCAAAGTGAAGTGTGGAGGTGGCATTATCAGGTTAATTAGCCACCCCGGCCCAGCTCGGCCTGGCCAAGCACAGCCCTCCAACCCAGGTCCATCAGCCCTTTCATGGTACCAAAAGGCCCGGACGGTGGCGACACCTCCTCCTCACTAAGCATTGCAGGATGACCGACCGTCTGTGTTTGCTTAGAGGTGAGGGGTCCGACATGGGACACTTTCAGTGCTAAAACTAGAAAAGTCCCAGGCAAACCAAGGCAAGGTAGTCAGCGTAGAGTGTGCGACTGTGTCTTAACTCGTAAGGAAGAGAAGGACTCGTTGGTTCTGAGAGGTAGAGGGAAAGAAATGGCTTCCAAAACAAAGAAGAAGGTGTCTGGGTGTGGGTCTCTGGAGAGTGTCAGCGGCTTCTCTCTCCAGCCTCAGTCTCATGCAGCAGACATTGGGGTCCAGAGGGCGGAGGGGGGAGGAATAA